TAAAGGATGGACTCTGATGCAAATATGTTTGTGGACACCTGTTTTGGACCAAAAAAAGATAGAAACACAGTTGCTGGAAAAGTTCAGCAGGTCTGGCAGCATCTGTGAAGGAAAAAACAGAGTTAACGTTTCGGGTCCGGTGACCCTTCTTCAGAACAGTTCTGTATCACAGAACAGTGTATCAGATCTGCTCTCAAGGTTTGTAGTTATATCACGATGAAGTTGTTACAGGATTTTATTAAGTTATTTGCATAACCAAATGACTGGCGTACATTCCACAGAAGGTCTCGATTTACTGGGCCAAGTGATTTAGTAAGTTCGTAATAAAGACCATGAAGAGTCCCTGATGTTCTCAGTACTTTCCGTGGTCTTTTCTCGTGAGAAAAATATAAGTCCGATGTTCCTGTGCAATGTCTGAAGCCGCTGGGAAGATTTTGCCAGCCACAGGAAATAAGACGTGATGAAGGGTGTAAGCCCAAAATGTCAACTTTCCTGCACGTTTGCTGTGTTCCTCCAGCTCCACATTGTATTGACAGGAAATAGGTTGTTCAGGAGAATGGATAAAATGGAAATAACTCAACAGTTTCCACAGAATAATTGATGCCTCTTTTTTTGTTCATTAAAATTGTGACAGTCCCTGTAACAAGGGGAGATTGAGTAGTTAACTTCCTCCAAATTTGACAGTGTGTTGCATGGAATCTTGATGTGAACACATGCCAGTTTTGAAGACCTCAGCTGGAACACTATCAGGACCACGAGCTTTGTTTTTCATCTAGCTTTGTTTTTAATCTGCTTCATTACTTGTTGCAGATCTCCCATTTGATGGTGGTTCAACCTGGATACTTCTCTGTGGATCACCATCTTGACATGGTTGTGAGTTTTGACAGTCCTTCAAATTACGATATGCAGAACCTCAAAAGTTGTAATTTCTGATTACATCCAGCATTGTGCACAAGTCAAGTCAGTATGGAAATGAGATAATGCAGATGAGTGCATGACTGAAAGATAGTGTAGTGGGGAGGGTTTTAGGTACTTAGGGCATTGGAATTGGGTTGGGAGAGTTGGAATTGGCCCACGCAGGATGGATTGCACCTAATTAGAAGTCAGACTAATTCCCTTTACATTTTGCTTGTGTTACTGGAAAAGGTTCACACTTGGCAGAGGTATGGGACTAGGTTGCCTGCACGGAATACCAGGGAGATAGTGCTAGAACGGAGAATAGGAACGTAGGTGGGATCAGAGGAAGGGTGTAAATCAGGAATCAGAATTTACTGTGCATTTTTGTGAGCGTACAGCATGTGAAAAATAAGATTTTGAGCTTCAAGCACAGATTGCTACGTTGAAATATTGTATTGTCGAGATGGTGCATTACTCAACAAAGCCTGCAGATGATGTGACCATGAACTGACAGAGAGACAATACAAACTACTGGCCATGCAATTGTGTTGTCATTGAATAAGTCACGAACTGAAGCTTTGTAAGGCAGTGTTCATTTTGTAGAATTCTCACTTAAAAATGTCTCAAGTGGGCATCAGCTGCAAAATCCTGACGTTGCGACTAAACACGCGCATGGCCTGGATGTGCTTCAGAATTGGTGTGCCGTGTTTACATTGCCTGCGTTTAAAATATTAGTGGATGTTTTAAAAGTGGTGGGCTGATGCAGTGGTCAGGGTGAAGGGCCTTCAAGTCTAGGGTACAATTCATGCAGCAGAGGCAGATGCTGGGCATGAATATTGAAAGTGCAGGGGACAGCAAGCAAATTAACCTTTGAAAACCTTGGGATGTGGGTAAAGAGAGTGAAAAGCCAGGGCAGTATTGAAAAGTATCCTCTTAGGCAAAAACCTAAAAGATTTATTAGCTCTCTTTTATATACTCGTATTGGCTCAGTAAATTGACATCCCTTAAATTTTCAAAATAATTCTTAACCACTTGTTAGGTCAGTACAAAATTTCATAATTCATGAAGTATTTATGAATGAAACCCTTTTTTTGATAGCTTGAATTACATTATATTTCTCGTTGGACATTTGGATCTTTATAAAATCTGTTCTTGATATCTATTTTGGTACTTTCTTTAAGCAGAAATAATGAAGGTTAAAAAAGCTTGAAATTCATTAATCCTTAATGGAAATAAATTCCCCCCTTTTTTTTTTGCTGTTACAAGGTTTTTAATGAAACATATCTCCTACAAATAACTAGGACTTCCTGTAGTTAAAATTTTCCATGTAGAATTGGAGTGTGGGTGATTATAATAAATTAACAAAAACTGCATTTATAAATGTTTGCTATTTGGTAACTTATCTATCTAATGTAGCTGTACAGGACATTGCTTAGGGCACTTATGGAATACTGTGTTCAATTCTGGTCTCCCAGCTATGGGAAAGATGTTGTGAAGCTTGAAAGGGTTCAGAAAAGATTGACAAGGATGTTGCCAGGGTTTGGAGTGTTTGAGCTACAGGGTGGGGCTGAATATTTTCCCTGGAGCATCGGAGGCTGAGGGGTAACCTTCTAGAAGTATACAAAATCATGAGGGGCATGTATAGGGTGAATAACCAAGGTCTTTTCTCCAGGGTAGGAGAGTCCAAAACTAGAGGACATAGGTTTAAGGTGGGAGGAGAAAGATTTCAAAGGGACCTAAGGGGCAACTTCTTCACCCAGAGGGTGGTGCCTGTATGAAATGAGCTGCCAGAAGTGGAGGAGGCTGGTACAATTACATCGTTTAAAAGGCATCTGGATGGCTATATGAATAAGAAGGCTATAGAGGGATGCAGGCCAAATGTTGACAAATGGGACTAGATTAGTTTAGATTATTTGGTTTGCATGGACGAATTGGACCAAAGGGTCTGTTTCTATGCTGTACATCTCTGACTCTAAAGAAGCAAAAACAATGCAAATACAGCAGGTAATGTTGCTACATGACTATGTTACCAAATAAAGGAGTCAGTGAGAATGAGAAAAGAGACTCAAAGCCAAAAGTTAGTTCCTGAAATTAAAACATATGTCTTCAGAGTAGACAGTCACAAAATACTTGTTCAAAGTTTTTGACATTTCCCTGTTTCCCATTATTTGCCTAATTTCCTTTTAAGGGAACAATGCACACTTTATCTACTCTTTCTCTTTATATACTTGTCGAAAACTTTGTAATCTGTTTTTATATTTCCTGCTCATTTTCTTTTATTTCATTGCTCCTTTTTTCTTTAAAAGAGGAAATGCTGGAAACCTCAGATGTGATAGCATCTGTGGAGAGAGAAACAGGTTCATGTTTCGAGTCCAACCGCTCTTCTTTGAACTTTTTTTAGTTTGGGTCAGTTTTCTAAGCTTTTGACCTGTTCCTGCGTTCATCCAAAAAAGCTGAAACAACATTAAACTTGATTAGACAATTGCAAGGATTGAGATTTCTTTCATTGCTCCTTCTTGATCTCTTTACTTGCCTCAGTGCACCTGCCTCTGACCACTGACCAAATCGAAGAGTGACTCAGTCTTCTGAAATAAAAAGTGTCCAGGTAATTTTCTCGATTGACTGATGCATTGCAGTGTCTGGAGCTTGAACTCCAGTTGATCATCTGAGCCAAAATTTCTTGAGCTGCAAGACATTGCTGTGCATAATATGCTGTCCACCAGTTCAAAAAAGCCATAGGTACAAAATATGATCTGTCCTGTCACCTTTTTTTTTTTCAGCAAATTAAGTTTTGGACTTTGAAAACTGATATTTCTTGGTTGTGTTATGGAGTTTTAGTTATGCCATAGCTTTCATACTATTTGTCTCCCCAGTACCAGTTTAAGCTACAGTCTGCAAATGCCCTTCTGGGACAACTTAGCAGCAAGGCTCAAAATGTTTAATTCACTCAGCTGAATGCAATAAGGCTTTTGTGGCCTCAAGCATGTTCCACCAGTGAATTAAAACAAAGAGGTTCATTAAACCTGTAAAAAATCTGTACCTAATCTTACAGACTAAAAAATAAATGCATTGTGTCCATTGGAGGGCAGCATGGGGAAGCAACAGAAGAGTCTTTCAAGGAGGCTGCATGAAATGGGCATTTGACTGATTCTTTTTTTTAAGATATATTTGAAAATGCCCTTGAATCTGTTGGGGTCCTTTTCCCAAAATTGTTTATTCCTGAATGCTGCCATCACAATGTTGCTATTTTTTTAAAAAATGTATCTGGCTGAATCTTCAGCTGAGAAAAAACCAAGCTGAAATCTTTTTGATTCCATCCATTTTCCTGACCCAATAAAGACTCACCCTCTGAAAGCACTATGTAACAAGTTGAATTTGACATCTTATTTGCAGCCAGTCTACCAGGAAACCAAAGGTGGTGTTCACAGCTTGCTGGTCTGTGTGATGCAGATCTGAGGTCAAATGCAGCGTGCCTAAAGCTGACCTGTTCCATTGCAAAGATTGTTCTGTACACCCAGTTCACAAAGCCTGTTGGTGTAGGTATATTTTCAGACCGTTGTTTCCATTTTCAGGACCTAAACTAATTCAAAATATTAACAGCAACCTAATTTGGGGTTTGCGAGGAAATGTAAACCTTACAGGGTGCTATTGAAGTTATTGTTTCCACATAATGAGCTACCTGCTGATTTACGAGTAGCTTTTGGCCTCTTCGAAACACTGTACAATCAAAGCCTGCAAGGCAATGAGGTGAATTTGTCATTCAAGATTGATAACTATTTATTTAGTAGGAATTTTCTGTTCCGGTCTTATTGCCACGAAGTTTACTATCCAAAGCTGCATGGATGGTATTCCTGTAAGTTTTTTTATTTACTTTTTTAATAGCTCTGTAAAGCACTAACATCTTGAAGTGATGTTCTTCAACTGCTGTATGTTACAGAATGCACTCATAAAAGTGTTGAAAAACCTGTTATAGAAAATGTTTTGCAGGCATTTTGACAGTGTCCCAAAAAATTCCTTAACTAACACAAAAGCATTGAACGTGCAAGCTAGTACACTTTTCCAGTGAAACTAGACTGAATGTCTCATTTTGTTCTATCTTCCAGTGAAACGTGATATTCAGCAAGATGACGAAGAAGCTGTCCGTGTTAAAGAACAGAGTATTCTGGAGCTGGGAGGGCTCCTCGCCAAAACCGGGCAAGCAGCAGGTAAACTGTACAGCAGTTGTTTTTAGTTGAGATATATGCACTGTAACGTTGAGTGCAGCTGAGACTGAGCTGCGAAAACCTGTTTCTGTTTAAGGCATTCAGTTCCTTGCTTATGCATGGTGAGGCAACAGAAGAGTCATGAAATGGGCATCTAACCAATTTTAGACATATTTGCAAATGCTGTTGCACCTGTTTGGGGTCCTCTTCCCAAGATTGTTTCTCTCTTAAAGCTGCCATCACAACATTGCTTTTTTATATTTTAAAAAAAGTACTTGGCTGAATCTTCAGTTGAGAAGAAACAAAGTTGAAACGTTTTTCACTCCATTTTCCTAACCCAACAAAGATCCACCCTCTGAAAACACAGCATTACATGCTGAATTCGAAGATTTACTTGCAGCCAGTCCACCAAAGGTGGTGTTCTAAGCTCACATTAAAAGGCATTATGCTGGATTGCTGATTTTTGGATGGGAAAAGGCAGATCCCTGGTGATTCTTTTCTGTTTTGTTTCTAATTTGGTCATCTGATTAAAGTTTTGATGCAGATGTTGATCAAATATCACTGACTTCGAGTCATGGAGTAATACAGCACAGAAACAGGCGCTTCAGTTCACCAGTCCACGCCGAACATAATCCCAAACTAAACTGATCCCACGTGCCTGCTCCTGGTCCATGTCATAAGAACATAAGAACTAGGAGCAGGAGTAGGCCGCCCGGCCCTTCGAGCCTGCTCCGCCATTCAGTAAGATCATGGCTGATCTTTTTGTGGACTCAGATCCACTTACCCACGTTCTCACTGTATCCCTTAATTCCTTTATTGTTCAAAAAAATATCTACCTTATCTTTAAAAGCGTTTACTGAAGTAGCGTCAACTACTTCACTGGGCAAGGAATTCCATAGATTAACAACCCTCTGGGTGAAGAAGTTCCTTCTCAATTCAGTCTTAAATCTGCTCCCTCTAATGTTGAGGCTATGCCCTCTCGTCCTAGCTTCACCTGCCAGTGGAAACATCCTGTCTACTTCTATCTTATCTATTCCCTTCATAATTTTATATGTTTCTATAAGATCCCCCCTCAATCTTCTGAATTCCAATGAATATAATCCCAATCTACTCAGTCTCCCCTCATAAGCCAACCCCCTCAACTCCGGAATCAACCTAGTGAACCTCCTTTGCACCCCCTCCAGTGCCAGTACATCCTTTCTCAAGTAAGGAGACCAAAACTGCACACAGTACTCCAGGTGTGGCCTCACCAGCACCTTGTACAGCTGCAACATAACGTCTCTGCTTTTAATCTCAATCCCTTTAGCAATGAAGGACAAAATTCCATTTGCCTTCCTAATTACTTGTTGTACCTGCAGACCTACCTTCTGTGATTCATGCACAAGGACACCCAGGTCCGTCTGCATTGCAGCATGCTGCAACTTTTTACCATTCAAGTAATAATCCTTTTTACTATTACTCCTACCAAAATGTATGACTTCACATTTATTTACGTTGTATTCCATCTGCCAGACCTTTGCCCACTCACTCAATGTATTTATGTTCCTCTGCAAATTTTCACAGTCCTCTGCACACTTTGCTCTGCCCCGCATCTTAGTGTCATCTGCAAACTTTGACACGCTACACGTGGACCCAACTCCAAATCATCTATATAAATTGTAAATAATTGCGGTCCCAACACCGATCCCTGAGGCACACAACTAGGCACTGACTGCCAGCTAGAATAGCATTCATTTATCCCCACTCGTTGCTTCCTGTTAGTCAACCAATCCTCTATCCATGCTAATACTTTACCCTTAACGCCATGCATCCTTATCTTAGGCAGTAGCCTCTTGTGCGGCACCTTGTCGAAGGCCTTTTGGAAATCTAGGTACACCACATCCACTGGGTCCCCATTGTCCACCTTGCTCGTCATGTCTTCATAGAATTCCAAAAGATTTGTCAAGCATGACCTGCCCTTCATGAACCCATGCTGCGTCTGCCCAATGGGACAATTTCTATCAAGATGCCTTGCTATTTCTTCCTTGATTATAGACTCGAGCATCTTCCCCACTACAGAGGTTAAGCTAACTGGTCTATAACGCCCCATCTTTTGTCTACTTCCCTTTTTAAACAGTGGCGTCATATTTGCTGTTTTCCAATCTGCTGGGACTGCCCCAGAGTCCAGCGAATTTTGGAAAATTACCGCCAGTGCACCTGCTATTTCTCCCGCCATCTCTTTTAGTACCCTGGGATGCATTCCATCAGGGCCAGGAGACTTATCAATCCTTAGCTCCATTAGCTTGCCCAACACTACCTCTTCCGTAATAATGATTGTTTCCAGGTCCTCACCTACCTTTGTCTCTTTGTCAATTACTGACATGTTATTAGTGTCCTCCACTGTGAAGACCGATACAAAATACCTGTTCAATGCCTCGGCCATTTCATCATATCCCATAACTAAATTCCCCTTCTCATCCTCTAAAGGGCCAACGTTTATTTTAGCCACTCTTTTTCGTTTTATCTATTTTATAGAAAATTTTGCTATCTGTCTTTATATTCTGTGCTGGTTTTTTTCTCTTGTTCTATCTTACTTTTCTTTATAGCTCTTCTTGTGGCTTTCTGTTGACCTTTAAAGTTTTCCCAATCTTCTAGTTTCATGCTGTTTTTGGCCACTTTGTATGCCCTCTCTTTCAATTTGACAGCCTCCTTTATTTCTTTAGACACCCATGGCAGATTTCCCCTTTTCTTACAGTCCTTCCTTTTCACTGGAATATACTTTTGCTGAGCACTTTGAAAAATTACTTTGAAAGTCCTCCACTGCTCGTCAGCTGTCCCACCATAAAATCTTTGTTTCCAGTCTACTTTAGCCAAGTCCTCCATCATTCTATTGTAGTTCCCCTTGTTCAAGCACAGGACCCTGGTATTGGATTTTATCTTCACACTCTCCATCTGTATTCTAAATTCAACCGTACTGTGATCACTCCTTCCAAGAGGATCCCTAACTAATGAGGTCATTAATTATTCCTGTCTCATTACACAGGACCAGATCTAGGATAGCTTGCTCCCTCGTCAGTTCCATTACATACTGTTCAAGAAAACTATCACGGATACACTCAACGAACTCCTCCTCAAGGCTACCCTGACCGAGCTGGTTCGATCAATCTACATGTAGATTAAAATCCCCCATGATAATTGCCGTACCATTTTTACAGGCATTAGTTATTTCTTTGTTTATTGCCCGCCCCAATGTGATGTTGTTATTGGGTGGCCTATAGACTATGCCTATCAGTGATTTTTTTCTTCTTAGAATTTCTAATTTCCACCCAAATGGATTCAACCTCATTCTCCATAGAACCTATATCATCTCTCAGCACCGCCCTGATGTCGTCCTTGAATATGAGAGCTACACCACCTCCCTTACCTTCCTGTCTGTCCTTCCGAATAGTCTGGTATCCTTGGATATTTAACTCTGTCATGACCATCCTGTAACCATGTCTCCGTAATGGCTACCAAATCATATTCATTCACGATGATTTGTGCCGTTAACTCATCACCTTGTTACGAATGCTACGAGCATTCGGGTAAAGTGCCTTTATGCTAGCTTTCTTACCCTCATGATTTCCAACATCTCTAATAATATCTCCTGAGTTATCCTTCCTTTTTTGCTTCTTTCATAGTCTGCCTTGAACTTTAAACCCTCCTGCACACATGCTAACCTGCTGCTTACCTTTTTATGTACCATCATACTCCCTGTCGTTTTCCCTTTCCCTTCTCTCCCCCCCCCCCCCCCC